CGAGCCAAGAAATTGTTTTGAGACACAGTTTCATTCTGTTACCCAGGTTAAAGTACCATAGCATCAGGTTAACTCACAACAACTTCAAACTCCTAGGTTGACGTAATCCTTAGCTGAGAATACAGTCAACCACCACACTGCCTAGCTATTGTTTTTTATTTTCAGTAGTGAAAGGATCTCACTTTTGTTCAGGCTTGTCACATACTCCTGAACTCAAATGATCATCCCACCTCATCCTTCAAGATTGCTAGCACTGTAGAAGTGAGTCACTATACCTGCTTAAAGAAAATGAAAATTATTTTTTTTGAGACAGAGCCTCAAGCTGTCACCCTGGGTAGAGTGCCAAGGAATCACAACTCACAGCAACCTCCAACTCCTGGGCTCAAGCGATTCTCCTGCCTCCGCTTCCCAAGTGGCTGGGACTATAGGCACCCGCCACAATGCCTAGCTATTTTTTGGTTGTAGTTACCATTGTTGTTTGGCAGGCCTGGCTGCATCCAAACGAACCCTAGCTCTAGTGTATGTGGCTGGTGGCTTAGCTGCTTGAGCCACAGGCACTGAGCCTAAAGAAAAAAATTTTCTGATTTTTTTTTTTTTTTTTTTGCATTTTTGGCCGGGGCTGGATTTTAACCCACCACCTCCGGCATATGGGACTAGTGCCCTACCCTTTTGAGCCACAGGCGTCACTCAAGAAAGTTTTTAAAAAAATGTTTCAGAGATCCTCAAAAATACACAAATTGTTTTTATTCTGAAAATCAATCAAACAGCATCAGAGTCTGCAGTCCTGGATAAGCCATAGAAAGTTTTTCCTTTTCACCATAAACTAGAAAGAACATCCCTGAAAACTAAACGCCTTCTAGAAATTAAAAGGAAAAGGCCAGGCACCTATAATTTTAGCACTCTGGAAGGGCAAGGCAGGTGAATTGCTTGAGCTCAATCAGTAGGAGTCCAGTCTGAGCAACAGCAAGACTACGTCTCTTAAAAACAAAAACTAGCTGGTCATTGTGGCAGGCATCTGTTGTCCCAACTACTTGGGTGGCTGAAGCAAGAGGATTCCTTGAGCCTGAAAGTTTGAGGTTGCTGTGCTCTATGATACCACGAAACTCAACCCAGTGTGACAAAGTGAGACTCTGTTTCAAACAAATTTCAAAAAAATTGAAAAGAAGAATAGGGCCAGGCATGGTGGCTCACACATGTAAACCGAGAACCTGAGAGGCCAACGTGAGAGGATTTCTGGAGTTTCTGAGTTTGAGCCTGAGCAACAGCAAGACTCTGATTCTACTAAAACATAGTAAAAATATTAGCCAGGCCCTGTGGAGAAACCTGTTCTCCCAGCTACTTGAGAGTCTGAGACCGAAAACTTACTTGAAACAAGACGGTTAAGATTGTTCTGTGCTACGCTGATGCCAGGGCACAATAGTCTGATGGCAACACAGTGAGACTTTGTCTCAATGAGAAAATAAACATAAAGGAAATGAAAACAAGAACAGAGGTGCCTTTATGTAACAACAAGAGAAAGAAACCCAGGCTTCCCAGAACTTATTTCCAATTAAGTTGAGCTTCCCTAATCACGTTGCATTGTTTGGTTTCCTCCTTCAATTTGGACCTCTGACCAGTGTTATCTGCTTCATTCACTCTAACCTACCTGGGTGCTTGACTACTGTCTGCTGAGTCTTCACCTTCCAGGGTTCTTTGCTTTGCTCCAGACAGGTGATGAGGTCTGGCTTAGATACAGCAAGCCCTGTTTCATTAGAAAAAAAAAGAACATGACGCTTGTTGGGCTTAACCAGTTAACAATCTAGTATCTTCATAGAGTAGAGAACACAACATTTTACAGATCCTACAAGAATAATCTAAAAGTAGAGGTTTCTGACAGAAACTTTAGAATATTTTAAAAGTATTTAAAATGCTCCACTACCCAGTACTACGGAAATAAAATTTAGGGCCAGAAACTAGACTTAAAAGGTATGGGCAACATTTTTGAATTACCATCAATGTACGAAAGGATATTTAGCAACTCAAGGCTAAGATTAATTCCAAGATAACATCTGAAATATTTTCTTTTCTATACCAAGAACTTACATTTTTCTTAGAAACAACAATCTGAAACTAATGCAGTCAAAGAATCTACACACAACCCAACTACAAAGAAACAATATGAAATGCTTAGTATACATTAGGAACTGTATATTTAAGTTATCCTCACCTAGGAAGACCAGGTGTCTGTAGGTCTCTAACATGACATCTCGATACAAATTCTGCTGAGCAGGGTCCAGGTAGGCCCACTCATCCATAGAGAATTCTATAGACACATCTCTGAATGTCAACGGTGCCTGAAAAAAAAAAAACTAAAAAGAACAATATTTACCATGATGTCATGGGAAGATTTAATTTTTATATAAATGAGCAAGTGGGAACTTGTTTTGACTTACATGACGGAATGGTATTATCTATTAAGTATAGCAGAGAGATATTCCCTCATGTGCTCTCTAACGCTGAGGAAAAAGGATGGGATAAAATCCATGATTCCAGTGTAGAAACTGCTTTATGCATTACAATGCATAAATAAGGCCACCAATACGGGCATGTGGATTCTTGCGCCTACTTACATCATACACTATAAGCTGTGCGTATTTCTTATGTGAAAATATCCTGGTGAGCTAAGTGGAAGACTTAAGATTTTAATGTGTGCAAACATGAACTGGAGATCTTGTCAAATGCAGTTTTTTGTGGGGTTTTTTGAGACATAGTCTCACTATGTTGCCCTCGGTAGAGTTCAATGGCATCACAGCTCATAGCAACGTCCACCTCTTTGGGTTCAGAGATTCTTTTTTCTCAGCTTTCCAAGAAGCTGGGACTCCAGGCACCCAACACAATGCCCAGCTATTTTCTTGTTGCAGTTGTCATTGCTGTTTAGCTGGCCTGGACCGGGCTCGAACAAGCCAGGCTTGGTGCCAGTGGCTGGCAAGTAACCACTGTGCTTTTGGCGCTAAGCCTCAAATGCAGTTTTTTATTCAGAAGATATTGGGTGAAGCTTCATTTCTGAATTTCCAACAAGCTCAACAGGGATGTCAATATTTCTGTCCCAGGATAATATTTTATCACACATTAGACTGGATTTATCCCAGTTGAATGTTGACCCAGAAAACAACCAATAGAGCCTTTATTTCCCAAGCAAGGTATAAAAAGAGAATCTCAGAAGGTGCACATGAGTTGATACTCTCCCCATTGTACTTAATCATATTCCGATAAAAAACAGTTAAAAGGCTTGGTGCCCGTGGCTCAAGTGGCTAAGGTGCCAGCCACATATACCTAAGGTGGCAGGTTCGAATTCAGCCTGGACCTGGCAAACAACAATGATGGCTGCAACCAAAAAATAGCTGGGCGTTGTGGTGGGCACCTGTAGTCCCAGCTACTTGGAAGGCGGAGGCAGGAGAATCACTTGAGCCCAGGAGTTAGAGGTTGCTGTGAGCTGTGATGCAACAGCACTTTACCCCGGGGGGACAGTTTGAGGCTCTAAAATATAATAATATTTTTTTTTCAAAGTTTTAAGTACAGGCTTGGCGCTTGAAGCTCAGCGGCAAGGGTGCCAGCAATATACACCTGAGCTGTTAGCCTCAAATCCAGCCCAGGCCTGCTAAGCAACAATGATAACTACAACCAAAAAATAGCCAGGCATTGTGGCAAGCGCCTGCAGTCCCAGCTACTTGGGAGGATGAGGCAAGAGAATCACTTAAGCCCAAGAGTTGGAAGTTGCTCTGAGCTGTGATGCCACCGCACTCTACCCAGAGTGATAGCTTCAGACTCTGTCTCAAAAAAAAAAGGGACAGATATCTGCCCTATCTCCCAATCTCTAATGCTATCTTTAAAAACTCTCCTTAACATCCTAGAAATGAAGGCTTTTCTAATAATTCTGATTTTGAGAACTTTGAGTTACTTTAGGCCATAAATGCCATCTTCTGTAAAACTGCACGTGTCACCTTATTTTACACAGCACTGAGGGAGCTTCTGGACTGAAACTGAACAGTACACAGTCCCCTTCTTTGCTAACATCCAATGACCCAACATCATCCACACCGGGAAACATGTGGATCTACTTATTTCCATTTAAAATAGGCACGAAGGGAACATATGCAGAATTACAGAACGTAATTTTTTATAGACATAAATTTGTGATGAAAATTCTCCAGGTCATATGGGAATTGGGATGGAGAGAATGGAGAGCAGACACTGCTGTATACACAGGGGAGAAGGATTTCTCAGAGCCTCTTCACTATTACAAGAAAAGGGCAAAAGAGTATTTGAAACAAGTTCATGAGGCAGGAACATCACAAGTAGAGAAGAAAAGGTTTTCAACTTCCAAACGCGAGATACTGCAGGAGAAAAGGCAGTCACAGCCCTGCATTAGGACACATTTAGCTGAGAGGCAACCAGTTTTTTCTTTTTCCCTGCCTGCCCTTGATTTCCTTCTCAGGTGAGATACCAGGATATATATTCCACCTGCATCTTGATTATATGGCTTTAAGGGCATCAGCACAACCCCTTCACCCACTCCCACCACATCCACAGGCTGAGAAAACTTGAAAAAAGAAATGAATCCTGTTCTTTATTACAGGACACAATCACAAACAAGGAGTTTTCACATAAAGGCCAAAGTGTGACTTTCATATTTCTTGCCCTCAATTGCCCTCTCTGCTAGCGATTTCATCTATGGCAAGGTAATGGTGGTGGTGCTGTCCTGTCCCCAGGAAGCACAAGCAGGGCTGGCCCTGTGACCTCCCTTGGGAGAAAAGGCTCAACACATTTTAAAACTCTCATGCTTGACACTGGCCTAACTTTAGCATCACATGGGGGTAATAATATCATGTGGATCAAACAACCCAGACTAACAGAATGTATGAGAAGGCAGAATCACAGATGACGGCATTTCTTCAAACTGGGCATGGAATCCTACCTGGAAGCCTGGGTTGAGAACCACTCAGGTAAGTATCACCTCCCAGGCTTTAATAGGCACCCAAGGTATTCGGTATCCTGGGACCCTCTAAGTATGTGATCCTGCAAGAGCAGCAATTACTCTATCTTGAAGCAGTCAGGTTTTTTTCACAATGGCTATTTATGTCCTTGTTTAAGAATTTCAGGAATGAGTGTTTAGCAGTTAACCAAAGAACCAAGACTGCAGAACTGCCAGTGAAGAAAAATGCTGAGCAGTTAACCTCCATTTCTGTTATGGTCCAGCAGACTGCCAGATGGCAAGAAACCATTGCAATAAGCCAGGGGATCTACACATAGAAAGCTCCTGCACATACTTTCCCAAACTCCTTTCCCCTTCCACCACCTTTTGGTCAGCAGAGGAACATGAGGTGGTTTTTCCAACATTATTCAGCTATCTCCCCATCTTTCTCTCCAATAAACTGCATTTTCTTCCAACAACTCTTGTATGTTGAGCTTGGATTCAGGAATGATGATGAGTAAACCCGGGGTTTGCCTCAGATTTTCTGGTTAAGAGGGTGTAGGAAGTGGCTTCTTTAGCAATTTCACATATTGCTGGTGTTACTTCTCCTAGACTACTGTAACACTCAGCTAGAGAAAATAAACACAGCACAGAGTCCCTTATGCACAACACTTTTATTTATCTTTTTGGAGACAGAGTCTTACTTTCTCACCCTCCATAGAATGCCATGGCCGTCATAGCTGACAGCAACCTCCAACTCCTGGGCTCAAGCAATCTTCTTGTCTCAGCCTCTTGAGTAGTTGGGACTACAGAGGCCAGAGATGGGGGTCTGGCTCTTGCTGCTGAGGTTGGTTTCAAATTCCTGACCTCAAGCAATCCACCATGCTGGCCAATAGTATTTATTTATTTATTTATTTATGCCCAACATTTTTTTTTATTTGGAGTTTTTGGCCAGGGCTGGGTTTGAACCCACCACCTCTGGTATATGGGCCTGGTGCCCTATTCCTTTGAGCCACAGGTACTGCCCTGCCCAATACTTTTTTAACAACACAAACCCATTTCCAGGGAAGACCACCCACCACAATCTTGAAATATAAGGTATTGTCTGCTGACCCTTTAAAGTTTTTAGAGCTGGACAGAAGGAAGTAGTATGTGAATAAAAACCTTGATTAAAAATTGCCAAATGGGGTGGTGCCTGTGGCTCAGTGAGTAGGGCACTGGCCCTACATACCAGTGGCGGGTTGAAACCTGGCCCCAGCCAAAATGCAACAAAAAAATAGCTGGGCTTTGTGACAGACGCCGGTAGTCCCAGCTACTCCGGAGGCTGAGGCAAGAGAATAGCCTAAGCGCAAAAGGTGGAGGTTGCTGTGAACTGTGACACCACAGCAATCTACCCAGGGCAACAAATTGAGACTATCTCTTTAAAAATTTTTTTAAAAATTGCAAATTGCAATGGCGCCCGCAGCTCAGTGGGTAGGGCGCAGTCCACATGCACTAGGGCTGGTGGGTTCGAGCCTGGCTCGGGCCAGGTAAACAACAATGCCAACTGCAACAAAAAAAATAGCCAGGCATTGTGGCAGGCACCTGTGGTCCCAGCTACTTGGGAAGCTGAGGCAGGAGAATCACTTGAGCCTGAGAGTTTGAAGTTGCTGTGAGCTG